CGTTGCTCTCCTCCTCCCCCTCCCTCCCTCCCCTCCTCCTCCTCCTCCTCCTCCTCCTTCCCCCTCCTCCTCCTCCTCTCCTCCTCCTCCGCCTTCTCCTCCTCCTCCTCCTCCTCCTGCCCCTCCCCCTCCCCCTCCTCCTGCCCTGCCCCTCCCTCTCCTCTTGCTCCCTCTCCCTCCCCTGGCGTGCACGGCGCTTGCGAGAGCACGGCCAGCACCTGCCGCCGCGTGACGCCCTCGAGATGGCACCGGTGCTGGCCGGTCGAGGCTCCAGGCTACATGTCTGGGCTTCCCAGGTGGGGTCGGAGCAGATGGGGTCGGAGGATCGCGCCGCATCGCCGATGCGTTTTGGGCCTCCCAGGTGTGATGGGACTGTTTTCTACCACCACCATAAGTTGGAGCGGGAGGAGGACGAAGAGGAGGAGGAGGAGGATGAGGTTGGGGAGGAGGAGGAGGAGGACCACCTCCCCCTCCAACTTGTGGTGGTGGTGGTGGTGGAAAACAGGCCCATAAAGGTGGGGTCCGAGTAGATGGGGTCGGAGGATCGCGCCGCATCGCGGATGCATCGGCGATGCGGCTCGATGCGGAGCCCGATTTGCTCCATGTCGACGTTGCCGATGCGTCGCCCAAGTCGACGATACATCGCCGGTGCATCGCCGACGCATCGCCGATGCGTTTCCGATGTATCGGCGATGTGGCGCGATCCGCCGACCCCATCTACTCGGACCCCATCTAGGAGGCCTCTAGTATCGTCACTCAGAGTAGGACATCGAAGACGTTAAAACGTCATAAAGAATATGCATATATATATATATATATATATATATATATATATATATATAGGTGTGTATATATATAGAGATCTCTGTGTGTATATATATATATATATATACATGTATCCCTGCGCCTCCGGCGCCGCCCCTGACGCGCTCCGCGCGCCAGGGAGGGGGCCCCAGCGCAGATCCAAGAAATCCGAGTGGAGCGCCCAAAGTTTATGTTTATGCAGTTTCGTCTTCTTCTACATGCCGCTACCCTTCTCCCATTTTCCCCTTTTCGGGCCTCCTGGGAGGCCCCCGCCGCCACCGCCGGATCAGCTTCGAAATCCTGGTCTGAACGCACCTTGGGAGAGGTCCAGGGAGTAGCGGTATTGCTACGTTTTTGTTCCCCATCATCGTTTAAAACATCTCTCCGACGCTGCGGCAACATTTCAGCATTTTGAAACATCGAGACCGGAGCCCTGGACCTCATCTTTCTGTGGTGTGTTCTTAGATATCGATGTTCTGCTGATGCTTGGTGGAGGTATCATCATTCAGAGTAGGAAAAGTTAGCGATACCAGTACCCTTCCCCTGTTCACCCATTTTTTGTCGGCACTCCGCCACTGCGGGATTCGCCTCGAAATCCTGGTCGGAACGCGCTCCGGGAGAGGTCCGGGGAGTAGCGGTATCGTTTTTTTTTTGCCTGCCACCAATCATCGTCAAGACAAGTCTCCGACGCTGCGGTAACATTTCAGCATTTTTTAGAACCACGACCAGAGCCCTGGACCTCATCTTTCTGTGGTGTGTTCCTAGATATCGCTATGTTGCTGATGTTGGCGGAGGTGTCACCATGCAGAGTAGGACGAGGTACCGATATCGATACCCTTCCCCGTTCTCCCCTTTTTTTGGGCCTCCTTGGAGGCCCTCGCCGCCACCGCCGGATTCGTTCCGAAATCCCGCTCAGAACGCGCCACGGGAGAGGCGGTATCGACACCCTTTGGGTTCCCCCCAATCATCGTCAAAACAATTCTCCGATGCTGCGGCAACATTTCAGCATTTTGTAAAATCAAGACGCGAGCCCTGGACCTCATACTTCTGTGGTGTGCTCCCAGGTATCGATCGGTGATGGTCCCAGGGCCCGAAACTGGTCGCGAGCGCCCCGCGTGAAGAAAATCGCAGCGCCGGGGCCTCGGGGCGCCCTGAGCCGGCGCCCCCTCATCGCGCTTCTTCCTCGGGGAGATCGGACGAGGTCGGGCGGGGCTAGGACGAGAACAAATCCGTTCCAGAGCACTCCAGACTGCTCTCAGAGCGTGCCAGGACGCTCTGAGAAGGCCGCGGCTCCCGAGACATCCTCCAGAGCTGCTGGACATCTCAGATATTCTCGATTTATCCTCACCCTCGATTTATCCTCACCCGCATTTCGGGGGCGACGGTAGGGGGGATAGGCCCAATCGCCCATTGATTGCCGATAGGGGCCCGATAGCCCCAACCTGCACAGGAAGGTGCGGATTCACTGTCGGGGGCCTATCGCCGATCTATCGGCGATGTGCCGCCCATTCGAGGTCGATGTCCCCCCCCCCCCCTATGTCTCTATCCCCCCCCTATCGTCGCCTCTCAGGATTTGTCCTCGTCCTGGCCTCGTCTGAAGAGAGGACGGCAGATGTGCGGCAGGGCCCGGCAGATGGGCCGGGGTGAGGAGGAGGAGGAGGTTCCCTGGGCCTGCGGGTCCTGCTGGGCCCGGTGCCCGGCTGCGGAGGGAGCCCGGCGGCTCAGGGGAAGGGCCTTTGGGAGGGGGGTGCCACGAGGACAGGGCACCATCGCTGCGGCTTCCCTCGGCCTCGGCCACCAGGCCAGGAGGAGGAGGAGGAGGAGGAGGAGGACGAGGAGGAGGAGGGGCGCCACGAGGACAGGGCACCCAGATCTCTTGCGACATATGTTTCTCCATCGCTGCGGCTCCCCTCGGCCACTAGGCAGGAGGAGGAGGAGGAGGAGGAGGAGGAGCAGGAGCTGGAGCAGGAGCACGAGGAGGAGGACGAGGACGAGGACGAGCACAAGGAGGAAGACAAGGAGGAGGAGGAGGAGGAGGAGGAGGAGGAGGAGGAGCCTTGGAGCATCAGGACTGAATCCTGGACGCAGAATTGCTTCGGGGTAAGGGGTCCGGAGGAGCTCTGGGGTCGCGGGTGGGAGAGCAGGCGTGCTGGAGGGTGTCTGGGCCCCTGCGGGCTCTGGGGCCTTGAGGATACCGTCGAGGCGGTGGAATACTGGGGGCGCGCATCAAGAAACCATATGCCTTCGGTCAGGGTATCCTGGGTTTCTTCGCTCCTCGCGCGCTGCGCGATGACTTCCCGCAGCCGTTGAAGGAGCTGCTGCGTTCAGGGTGCTCCGGGTTTCCCCTCGGGTGTACCTCGCACACGGGTTCTCAGGGTTGGGCTTCTTGCGAGGGTTTCTTGCGGCCGCGCCCGCACTGTAGTGGTCCGCCTCGGGCTCGGGAGGGGCTGCGCTGTTCGGGCCCGTTCCGCAGATCTGGGTCGGGGAGCCGTCATGCGTGGCCGAGGCGCGCTGCTGCCGGAAGGCCTTCTCGTCCCTCACTCAATGTTCGCGATGGCAGGAGGAGGAGGAGGCGGAGGAGGAGGAGGGTGCCCCGGCGCGTGGCTGTGGGAAAGGATCCCATAACTACTAAATTCTCGACGCCTCGCGTGCAGCCGGTCGACTGTATCCCCACCAGCCCTTCCAGACGCGATGCCCAGCGGAGCTGCCTCTGACTCTCAGAGGTCTCCTGAGGCCTCCTGCTGGCTCTTGGAATGCGCCCTGGAGCGTCTTAGGTGCCTCTGGGGAGCCTCTTCGGGGCCGCTTAGTGGGGGCCCCTTCGGGGCCTCTTGGGGTCTCTTCAGGGCCGCTTTGTGAGGGCCCCTTCGGGGCCTCTGGTGGCCTATTGGGCGCCTCTTGGGGCCCTCTTGGGGCTGTCTTGGGATCTTTCTGGGCCGTCTTGGGGCAGTCATTGAAGGCGGGTGATCCGAAGAAGGGGGGAGGGCCTAATTAGCCTCGCCCGCCCAAGGAGGCCAACATGGCACACAACATGCGATACAAATGAGTGGCGCTCGCTTTCTCGCTGACGCCTTCTGAGACGCTCTAGCTGCTTGCGAGCGCCCCCGTCCAGAGCCTGGGGTAGGGAGAGGGGTAATTGAGCCTATCCCCGGGGGTGATTAACCCTCCGACTGAGCTTGCCCAATCCCGCCCGCCTCCATCCTCCACCTCCTTTTCATCCCAACCCCCTCCACCCGTTCCGTCAGCACATGCCCAACCCCCCTGGCGGATCCAAGGGGGGGCGATTCTTGCCCCATCCAGAGTAGGGTCACTCCTGGGTATCGCGGACTCTGAACCGCCGAGAAGTGGCAGCTTCGCGATGATGCAGTCAAGACGCTGACTTTTGAGGAGGAGCCTCGGTCTTCGGGCCGGTCTTCGGATCTGGGTGGGAGAACTTGTTCTTGGCCGAGGCATGGTTTACGTGCTAGGGTTCGGGTGTTGGGGCTTGGGCTCCAGGATGTTAAGAGTAGGGTTAGGGTTGGGATTTGGGGCTCCAGGATGGTTGGATTTGGGTTCCAGGATGTTGGATGTTAGGATTAGGGTTAGGGTGTTGGGTCAGGGTGATCGTGTGAGGGTTAGGGTGCTAGGTTGAAGGTCTGGGTAGTAGATTTATGGCATTGAGATTGAAGTGGAAGGTTGGTGGGGAGGGGTTCAGGAACAAGGGGGCGTTGGGAGGTGCACCCTCCCCCTTTCGAGGCCAAGGGCGGGGGGGTTCAACCTCCTGCCCCAAAGGGTGGGAGGGGGTGGGGGGGTTGACCCACCCCTCTTTGGAAGGGTGCGGGAATCTGGGACGATGGATCGGGAAGGGGGGGGTCCAACCACTCCCCCCCTTCGGCACAACTATCGGCGCCCCCTCCCTCTTGGGTGCCGTGTGGTGGTCTCGGGGGCCATCCTGGGCAGTCTTAGACGCTCTATGCCGTGCCGGCGGCTTTCTCTGCGAAGAACTACAAGGATACACTGTTTTTTGCATGCGTCTGGCTTCTTGGGCCGGCCTCGAGGCCCTCTCAGACGGCTCGATTGGCAGCCAGGATGGAAGTATGAGCCCGCATCCGTAGACATTTCGGCTCAAGCCATTTTGGCTCAAGGTCGGCGGCTCAGATAGACCCTTGGCCTCCGTTTCTCAGAGCCTCGCCTTGCTCCAGTGGTCCTTGCCCTCCGCGATGGCTGCCGCCGTCGCCTCCCCGGATGTGCTCCGCCTGGGGGACGGCACCGAGATCAGCCTCGCCAGGGTGCCTGGCGTCGACGAGTCCACGTGGGGCGAGGTGAAGGACTACCTGCAGGGCAACCCTGACGTGGCCAAGAGGCTGCAGGCCTTCTCGAAGGACCCCGAGGCGATGCGAGGCTGGCTGCAGACGCAGGCCATGTCGGACCACTACCAGAGGAAGCTGGGGGGCGCCGACGATGAGGTGCAGGGCCGCATGAGGGCGCTGGAGCAGGACCCAGAGCTCGCCCCCATCCTCGAGGACATCAAGAAGCACGGGATGGAGGCAGTCATGAAGCACTACCAGGACGAGGAGCTGATGCTCAAGTTCAGTAAGGCCATGGGCGGGGTGCCGGAGGAGCTCAAGCCCGCGCTGAAGAAGATCGACGAGACGCCGCTCTCGCTGCACGAGGCGGCCAAGATGGGCGACCTCAAGGCATTCCAGGAGCACCTTGACAAGAAGAGGCCACTGGACACCCAGGACCCGAGGGGCATCACCCCGCTGGGCTACGCCGTCGGCGGAAACCGCATCGCCGTCGTCAAGCTGCTGCTGGACAGCAGGGCCAATCCGTTTGCGGTCGACTCCAACGGCAATTCGGCGCTTCACTACGCGGCCGGCTACGGGCGCAAGGAGTTGGTAGAGTATCTGCTCAAGACGGGTGGCAGCGTGGCGCAGGCCAATGCTCAGGGCCGGAAGCCGCTCGACGTCGCCACGCAGAACAGGCACGATGCTGTGATCCAGGTTCTGCGGGCTCACGGGGCGCAGTGATGTGTTATTTTTATTTTTCTCCGACGTCGTCCAGTCGTGCTCGTCTGCTTTTTGTGTCGCGTTCGCACGGCCGTTCGGCCAGGTGAGCGTTGGAATGTTTACCCTTGTGGTTAGAGGTCTTTTTAAAACTTGTGGGGGGCTGCCACCGAGCGCCTCCCAAAGACGACGGCCACTTCACTGAGTGAGCAGCCGTACGTCTACATGACAGGCGTACGTAAAGCCTGCAGAGCTCGGCCGACTCAAGAAATGGAAGTGTGAGCCCGCAGCCGCGCTCCAGGGGCCTCGTGCGAGTTTGCAGGAACCCGCAGGAGCGCCTGGGCGTTCCGTGAATCTGGGGCCCGCGGCTTCTGAGAGGCATGTGCAGTCCTCAATGCTTTTTTTTTTTTGTGTTTTTTTTTTTCTTTTTTTTCTTGCTAATTTTTTTTTTTGATTTTTTGTTTTTTTCTTTTTGGATTTGTTATTTGATGCTTTTTGATTGATTTGAATTTTGTTTTTTTTTTTTGGTTTTTTTTTGAATTGGAGTTCATTTTGAAGCCTTGAGACCGTTGCGCAAGAGGTGGTTGCTGCGTCGCCGAAAGCCACGACCGGAGGCCCAGGCCCCACATTTCTTTTGCAGCTTGCGAGCGGGATCGAGATGCGATGGCCCCCTCTCCACCACCATCCTCCCCTCCTCCCCCTCCACCCCCTCACCCCTCCTCCTCCTCCCCTCTCCTCCTCCTCCTCCTCCTCCTCCTCCTCTGGCCCGAAGCCGCGCGAAAGCACTGGGCGTGAAATGCAACGCTAAGGTCTCGGAGAAGCTCGAAGGGACCTAAGGACACTCCGCTCAGTGCCTCTCGGCACCGTGGCGGATACCGCGTGGATGCCGTCGCAACCTGCCGCTGACCCAAGGCAATGTGTGCATGCGCGTGTGCACGTTTGGGTGGTGACAGCCATGAGCCGTTGCTGCTCCACGATGCGGCCACACTCGACAGGGAGGATCTCAGACCAGGAGAGAAAAGGTACAGACACTGCTACCTTTTCGCGTGTTCGCCCCTTTGGAGCCAGGAGTTGGTCGGCACGGCTGGATTCGTCTCGAAAGCTTGATCAGAACGCACCCTGGGGGAGGTCTGAGGAGCAGCGGTATCGATAGTCGTGTGGCTCCCCCAGGGTCTACCAATCCGACCAGGCCAGACATTTCTGCGACCTTGGCATTCCATCTTGGGCTTGGCGCTTCCAGCTTGCCAGTGGCGCCTCCCGCTGGCTTCAATAATCTCGAGATTCATTGCCAGAGGCTTTCACTGTGTCAGTTTACCAGTGCAGCATTCTTCTTGAGACTATGGCAATGGCGCGTGTGAAGTGCTTGTCTCGCAGCGCTAGCGAGACGATTTGACACCGGTCGGTGTCGAGAGAGAACAGTAGGAGGCGGAGGAGAACAGGAGGCGGAGGAGGAGAAGGCGGAGGAGGGGAAGGCGGAGGAGGGGGAGGGGGAGGGGGAGGGGGAGGAAGAGAAGGAGGAGGAGGAGGAGGAGGAGGAGGAGGATATACTCGTTGGCTGCCCGCTAAGGCTGTGTACGAGGGCCACAGCGGAGGCGATCCGAGGGGAGCTCCCGCTTATGCGCGCGCGCGTGCCTTCCTCCACAGGGGAGGCTGCGGCACGTTGGCGAAGCAGCTTCTTTGACCTGAGCATTTTCTCAAGGTGGAGGGCTCAGAGTGAAATCCATTTGGGCTTGTGCACCTCGAACATCGATTCGTCTTGTGATTATCCTTCTGCAGATTCGAGCCTCGAGCACCCATCGAAACGGCATTTCGGATTTCACCCTTTGCCCTCCACCAAAAGAAAATGCTCGGTTGACTTTCGGGTACCAGCTTTTGGCAGGTTCTTGTTGTCTCGTTGGGGCGTCAGCGCGGTTGCTATCGTTCATCGTCGAAGACCCCCGACGACTTCGGGAGTCGTGCGATCGAGGGTCATCGTGCCATCAGAAGCAGGGGCCCACACCATCAGCGCACGGATTAGCTCACCTGTGTTCTGTGCATACCCCCTTCCGCCTCGTTTCACCTGTGGAGGGGCCCCGTCACACATCCCGAATGGAACGAGAGATTGGGATGCGTTACGACAGTTGGCACAACATGTCATGCTAGCTAGAATTTCTTGACGCTTCGCGTATCCCCACCAGCTCTAGTTCGCTTCTGCGCGCTTGGGGCTTAATTTAGATCGTGGCTCTGTTGCTTCGCTCTGACGGCGCCTGGCACACCTGCGCGCTCGCGATCAAGCAAGTATCCCCACCAGCTCAGGTTTGGCTCGTAGCCCGGGCTGACTTCGGACGCCGCCTGCGCTTCCGCTTGCGGCCGCGACGGAAAAATCCCCACCAGCCCTCCGCAGCCGGTGGCAGAGCCTGCCCCTGCTCGCCCGGCGTTCGACCTGTTCCGCGCGCCCGCGTACCAGAAAGTATCCCCACCAGCCCATTAAGAATCAGACACCCTGCGAGTTGCCCTGATCAGGGATGTGTAGCGTCCTGGTGGAGTGGTTGCCCGTCGGATACTCGACGGTTGTAGGCAGGGGCGCCCTCCTAGTCATACCGTTGTGGTTCGCTGGCAAGCAGACAGACGCCGTGCTCATGCCTTCCGCGTGCACAGGTATCGTTGACGTGCTCCAGAGTCTCTTGGACAAGGCCCAGGACGCCCGAAGATCAGCTAGCAGTTCCGCTGGTAGCAGACGTGTGGCCGTGTTCTCACAATCTACTCCCCATGCTGGCGTCCACGATCTCACGTGCATTTTGTTTTGCACGTGCACGCAGCTGTGTGCGCGACCAGACACGAGGGACCATGGTGACTCATCTCGGATTGTGGCTCTGAGGTATCACTTGTCGGCTGCGAGCGAGGGGGGAAAGTGAGAAGGAGAAGGCCTTCTCAGAAGGCTCGGAAGTCACCCGGCCTTCTGAATTTGTTTTAAGCCTCCCACGAAGACAAAGAACGCTTCTCAGAAGGCGCGAGGGCTTCTGAGAAGTCCCGCCGCCTTCCGAGAAGGCCTTCTCCTTCTCATTTCCCCTCCTCGCTTGCCACCAAAGTTGATTGTTTGTCGTAGTTGCACGTTCTGGATCATGTCTGATGCAGAACTGCGGAGTTACGGTGGCAGTACGAGTTCCCTCATCGACGTCTTTGGCGCGCTCGGAAGAGCTCTCGAGTGTGCGCGTTCCCTCCGTTTCGCCTCCTCCCTCCTCCAAGTGAACTTCCAGGGCTGAACCTGAACGCTGTTTTGCTGGACTTCGGTTGTGTTTTGTCTTTCGTTTCGGCGGGGAGGTACAGGAAAACGGGTATAGGGCAAAACGAAATTCAAAACAAACACAAAACGAAAAACAACGTTTAGGTCCAGCCCTGAAATGAACGCTGCGGAAACGACAAATCGAGTCACGGACTCATTCGTGATGACGCCGCTTGCCAGGGGTTCTTTACTCGGGAATATGTGCAGCAGCGCGTTGTTGCGCAACGGAGCGCCGTAAGCTGGAATCATGCTTCGAAGTCTCCGAGTGGTTTTGTGCCTCTCCAGAGCAGCACGGGGGACGACGACGACGACGACGAGGCGGGTTCTGACGAGGAGGACTAGGGGACCGAGTCTCACGGATCGCTCCCCGCTCGGTGTGGGGGCGCCCGGCGGTCCTCTTCTTGGCACGCGCGCTGGCCGTGGAGCAGCACCCATTTCCCTCCTGTCGCCCTCCTTCGCTCCCTCCTCCGTGCCCCCACCCCACCCCCCATTCCATCCTTCACGTCTCTTGTCACCTCCTCCTCCCGCTCCCCCTCCCCTCGTTTTTCTCTCCCCCCTTCGCTGCCCTCTCCTTCCCCGCCTCTTCTCCCCCCACCCTCCCTTCCCCACGTCCCTCCCTTCCTCCTCTCTCGCCCTCCTGTCTCCTCCCCCCGCGTCTCCTGCCTCCCTCCCTCCGTTCCCCTTGGCCCTTTACCATTCCCCGCCTTCCCTCGACCCCGCTCCCCTCGCCCACCCCCCTATCCTGTCTGGGTGTTGCAATCTATGCTGTGCATTCTTTGTGGAGCAATCTAAGTAGGTGGTGCAATCGAGTTGGTGCTATACACGTGGTGGTGCAATTTATGTGGTGCACTATATGTGGTGCAATCCATGCGGTGCAATCAATATCTGTTCGCACTGAGTTGTCCACTCCACTGCTCGCGCAAACATCCCACCCACCCACCCGCAGCATGGTTTGCAAGCCTCATGCGGCGGCGATTGCGATGAGTGCTTGGCGCTGGTTGGTGCATCTCTGCGGCGCGCATGTGCGCGCGCAGCGGCCAGGTAGTCTGGCGCCACCGACGAGGCCGCGGTGGTGCTGACCGCTCGGCACATCCCAGCGGGCACTTGAGTGCGAGCCGGCGGCTTGGGCGGGTGCGGTATCATGGCAAAGTCGACACTTGTAGACACGATGACGATGATAGTGGCGATGTTGGTGACGACACTTGTAGACACGATGATGATGATGATGATGATGATGATGATGATGATGATGATGATAGTGGCGATGACGGCGCCGATGCCGATCACGCCGACGACGATGATGGCGTCGTCGCGCCGGTGATGAAGGTTTTGGAAAGAATTCGAAATGCGCGCGCGGCAGACGCGCGAGAGTGGCTTGCATGGTATTATTTGATACGGATCGTCCCACCCCAGCACCCGCGCAAGGGTTTTCGAACGATTTCGACATGCGCGCGCGGAACCCGTTTTGATAGCACGTTATGGATATGTTGACCAAGTCATGTTGCCGTAAGAATTCGCTTGAGCGCGAGCGCACGCTTTTGTTACAAATCCGCGTTGCGAAACCATTTGTTTTTGTATGTTTTTGGGGTTCTCGATTTTGACATTCTTCCGACACCAAGAGTTTTTAAAGGATTCCGGCATGAGCGCGCGACGACGCGCGCGTTTGCACTTCGTCCGTTGTTTGCAAGGAGTTCTCGCGACGGCGCGCGCGCAAGAGCGTTCCAACAATTTCGACATGCGCGCGCGAAGCCCTTTTGGTAGCATGTTCTTGAAACTGTAGAAAAAACTTATAGTTTTCTTAAGAATTCGCAAGAGCGCGCGCGCAAGCTTTTATTGAAAATCCGCGTTGCGAAACCATGTTTGTTTTTTCATGCTTTCGGACACTCGATTTTGACATCCTTCCGACACCCCGCGTTTTTGAAGGATGTCGGCACGCGCGCGCGACGACGCGCGCGTGTGCATTTCGTCTCATTTGCTGCAATGGATTATTCGAAAAGTATGATTTGTTATGAACGACTGCGCACATAGTTTTTGGTTTCCAAGGAAACCGAGGGGGGCGATATTGGTTTGGCTGGGATCGTATGAACTCAGAGGTAGGATGGGCATTGGGTCAGAATCAGATGTGTTTTGCATCGGTTCCCGGGGGGTGGATAAGTCCGGGGGGAAGGGTGGAATAATCTTTTTTGGACAGGAGGATCTAGTTGTTGCAATCCGTGTTGTGGACGATCAAAAACGCACCGCTGGAGCGATTTTTCCGTGCAATCCATGTGGTGTAACCCAGCAGCGGCGACGGCGGGAATACAGCCGCAAGACCGAAGACACAGCCAGACGACGGGCGGCGACGAGGCGGCGACGGGGCGGCGACGGCGAGCACATGGCCGCCAGACCGGCCACACGGCCAAGTCTTATAGCATAAGTAGGAACTCCTAAGTCTTGCAGGTCCGCGCGCCGCTGGCGACGCCTCCAGCGCCGCCCCTGGCGCGCTCCGCGCTGCAGGGAGGGGGGTCCGGCACCGCTCCGAGAAATCCGCGCGGACCTCTGGATGCTTATGATGTGCCATCCGGGGCTTCAGGATGGTGCGCTACCCTCTTGGGCTTCGGCCAGAAAGGCGAATACATTTGGCACGACGGTTAGTTGCAGCCCTAGTTTTGGAGGGAGACTCTTCTGCTCTGCATGCTTGGGCTTTCCACCATGGAGTATCCGTCGTCTGGAGTATCTCCCTGGGGCCTTGGACCCTTGGCGAAAAGGCCCGTGCTGTTGATCCACGCTCTCCCCAGACCTCCAACGCAGTGTTCTCTTCGTGTGGTGACATGGGCCGCCGGAAGTGGAGGTCTGGGGTTGTGGCCATGTCTCGACTGTGCGCCATGCCAGGCATGGGCGGGGGAAGGAAGGGGGCGGGGGGACAGGGGCCTAGGCTTCCCAGATGGGGTCGCAGGATCGCGTCGCATCGCCGATGCATCGGCGACGCGCGCAGCGCTGAGCGACAAGCAGGCAGTGAGCTGAATGGAGCAGCGACGAGTCCCGCTTCCGTGCAAGACCGACGCGCTCTGTCGCCAAGTCAGGCGGGAGGGGGGCAGAAGGACGGGCGGGGCGGGGGGGGGGGGCGGGGGAGAGACCCCGAGATCCGGTCGTGCCTCAATGCTTTCGCGCCAGGCGTCTTCGCCCGGTGTCGGGCTCCGGGCCAGCACAGATCGATGCGGCGCGCAAAATGCGGCAGAAAGATTCTGTGGGCCTGTCCCTCGACTACAGGGGGAATATTCAAAAATAGATTTAAAACAAATTGTCAGAGGATGATTTTTCTAGCATTTTTGGTTATTTTTTGAATATTTGTGCTGTCTTTTTTCGTTTTCTCCCAAATCCGCCTGTAGGGGGACAGGCCCGACCTAATTATAGGGCTCTGGTCGTGATTCTCTGCTACGTTGTGTGCAAAAGCGCGGGGTCTCTGGCTCCAGGTGTGATTCGTCGCGCGGTGCTGTATGTTTTGCTGCAACGTCGGATCGGCAGTGGAGGGGGGGAGTATTAGGGAGGGGGGAAGAGGGAGTGTGGAGGGAGGGTCGGAGGGAGGAGGGAGGGAGGGGGGAGGCAGGCTGGGTGCGTCGCGCTATATCATCCTGACCCTCCCGCCCATCCATCCACATGGCGCAGATGCCTCCTCCATCCGCCGACGAGTCCTAGCAGGCCAGGCTCCCCCAAAATGACCGCATCGTGTGATGCGCAAGCAGAAAAGGGGATTTGTGCACATTGGAGGAGGAAAAGAGGTGGCGGACGAGCAGGAGGTGCAGCAGGAGGAGGAGGAGCACGGGGAGGAGCAAGAGAGAGGAGGAGGGAGGAGAGGCAGCAGTGGCAGCAGGAGCAGGAGGAGCAGGAGGAGCAGAAGGACCAGGAGAACGGCGAAGGAGGGTGAGGAGGAGGAGGAGGAGGAGGGTGAGGAGGAGGAGGAGGAGGAAGAGGAGGAGAGGGGGGGGAGGAGGAGGGGGAGGAGGAGGAGGAGGAGGAGGAGGAGGAGGGAGGAGGAGGAGGAAAGAGATAGCAAAGGAGAGAGAAAGAGAGAGAGGATATAATAGAGATAGAGAGAAAGAGGAGAGAGGAGAGAGGAGAGAGAGGAGAGAGGAGATAGAGATGAACGAGAGAGAGAGCGAGAGAAGAGAAGGAGAGAGATAGAGAGAGAAGAGGATAGGAGAGAGAGAGGAGAGAGAGCGAGAGAGAGCGAGGAGAGAGGAGAAGGAATAGAGATAGAGAGAGCGAGAGAGCGAGAGGAGAGCGAGAAAAGAAGAGAGAGAGAGCAGAGAGAAAGAGAGAGAGAGAGAGAAAGGGATAGAGGAGCAGAGGAGTTTGAAGGAGGAGGAGGAGGAGGAGGAGGAGGAGGGGGAGGAGGGGGAGGGAGGGGGGGAGGGTAGGGGGAGGAGGGGGAGGAGGGAGGAGGAAGGAAGAGGAGGAGGAGAGGGCGGAGGGAGGAGGGGGAGGAGGGGAAGTAGAGGGCAGGCGGAAGGGGGAGGGGGAGGGGAGGGGGAGGGGGAGGGGGAAGGGGGGAGGGGGAGGAGGACAAGCTAGGCGCGCTCGCGTCATATCTGACGTCCTACCCCTCCCTCCCATCCCTTACCATGGCGCTGATTATCTCTATCCGCGGACGCGTGTCGTAGCGAACCTGTGGTTCCGCGCGCGCGTGCGTAGTGGGTGGTGGTGCACGTGCGTGCGTGCGTGCGTGTGTGCGTGGTTGTCGTGGTGGTGGTGGTGGTGGTGGTAGGGGTGTGGTGGTAGTGGTGGTGGTGGTGGTGGTAGTGAATGTTTGTGGTGCTGGGCTGGTGGGTGGTGCTGGTGGTGCTGGTGGTGGTGGTGGTGGTGTTGGTACTGGTGCTGGTGCTGGTGGTGGTTGTGCTGGTGGTGGTGGTGGTGGTGGTGGTGGTGGTGGTGGTGGTGGTGGTGATGGTGGTGGTGCTGGTGCTGGTGCTGGTGGTGGTGCTTGTGGTGGTGGTGTTGGTGCTGGTGCTGTTGGTGGTTGTGGTGGTGGTGGTGGTGGTGGTGGTGGTGGTGGTGGTGGTGGTGGTGGCGGTGCGGCGCGGTGGTGGCGGGCGGATGGGCGCGCGAGAAAAAGGCCCGCGTTGGGGCGAGAACGCCATCCTGAACGACGGAGGCCAAGCACCGATCCGAAAATGAGGAAAACGATTCGGAACGATTCAGGAGCAGAAATGAGGCCGCCGCCTCAACGAGAGCAGCATTTGGGGAAAAAATGACGCCGGCGCCTCAGCGAGAGTCGTTTCCCGGGATTTCCCGGGCATCCTGTGTGTTAAAAAACAGTACGCGGAGGGTGCGCGGCCATCACCTGGACGCCATCAGGGGAAGGATTCGGGAGCAGAAATGAAGCCGGCGCCTCAACGAGAGCAGCACTTTGGGAAAAAATGACGCTGGCGCGAGAGCAGCATTTTGGGAAAAAGTGACGCCGGCGCCTCAGCGAGAGTCGTTTCCCGGGATTTCCCGGGCATTCGGTGTGTAAAAAAGCAGTACGCGGAGGGTGCGCGGCCATCACCCGGACGCCAGCAGGGGAAGAGGGAGAGTATATTCATATTGAGTAATTGCGGAGGAGGAGGAGGAGGAGGAGGAGGAGGAGGGGAGGAGGGAGGAGGAGGAGGAGGGGGAGGAGGGGGAGGAGGAGGAGGAGGAGGGGGAGTATTAGGAGGAGGAGGAGGAGGAGGAGGAGGAGGAGTAGGAGGGGAGGCGGAGGAGGCAGGAGGGGGGGAGGGGGAGGAGGAGGAGGTAGGAGGAGGAGTAGGAGGAGGAGGAGGGAGGGCGGGAGTGGGAGGAGGGGGAGGGGGAGGAGGGGGAGGAGGGGGAGGAGGGGGAAGGAGGGGGAGGAGGAGGGTGAGGATGAGGGGGGATGAGGAGAAAGAGGCGGGGGAAGGGGTCGGGAAGGCATAAATGTGGTCCGCGCTGGGGTAGGCGGATGCACAGGCAGACTCCTCGGCGGCAGTCGCGCCCGTCCCGCGGAAGGTAGCCGACCCCAACGTATACATTGCACCGGTGCCTCCTCCTCCTCCTCCTGCCTCCTCCTCCTCTCCCTCCTCCCTCCTCCCTCCTCCCTCATCCCTCCTCCTCAATTCCTCCTCCATCCTCCCTTCTCCCTCCTCCCTCCCTCCTTCTCTTCCTCCTCCTCCTCCTCCCCGCCCTCCCTCCCTCCCTCCCTCCTCCTCCTGCCTCCTCCTCCTCCTCCTCCTCCCCCCCCCCCCCCCCCGTTCTCCTCCTCCTCTTCTCCTCCTCCTCCTCCTCCTCCTCCTCCTCCTCCCCCCTCTCTCCTCCTCCCCCCTCCTCCTCCTTCATCCCTCCCTCCTCCTCCTCCCTCCTCCCCTCCTCCCTCCTCCCTCCTCCCTCCTCCCTCCTCCTCCTCCTTCTCCTCCGTTTGCTCCTCCTTCTCCTCCTCCTTCTCCTTCTCCTCCTCCTAGCCGACCCCCACGAACACATTGCACGAGTGCTTGCCTTATGATGTTCCAACCTACTGTAGCTTTGATCGCCGGAGAGAACTCCGAGCACCAAGAATGCTCCTAACTTGTAGGGTTTTCACGTGTCGAGCCCTGGTAATTAGGTGATGTTCGTCCGACACTTCGCCAGCATGCCGGGTAGACACGGTTTCGATCCTCTGCGGGACATTGTTTCTGGGCTGTGGTCCGACCTCAAGCTCGATGGGAGCACCATTATGCTTGCCACCGGCCACGCACGCATGCCGTGCCTCAGACGCACAGCTTGCCGAGGCCATGCGGACTGGAGCGGCCTCGGCTGCGCTAAGCGCACCCTGCGGCGGGGATCACAGGGACGACCCGGAGGCGTGGGAAAAGAAGGCCGGGCCTGAGTTGGGCGGCCAGTTGTTCGAGGCACCGCTTCGTGAGGATGCAGTTCCTGGAGGGCTGAGTTCAGCATCGGCGCTGGTGTATCCGTGGTCGAACTCCAGCCTGGTCTGGCAGACTCCCGCGTCATCCGGCTCAGTCCCGCGTAACTTGGCTTGGTCTTGTGCTTGATCTTGGGCTTATCCGGCCCTGTCCAGCCTATTGGCCCCCTAATCGGGTTTCGTCGTCCGTAATCGTCGCACGTCGCACGAAGACCTCCCAGGGGTTGCGCCCGGACCCCCCTCCAGAGGAGCAGCTCGACGGGGCGCGGAAGACGGAGACCGCCGACACCCACAACTTCGAGGACCGCGGGGGGGAGGGCGGGGGGGCGGCGGGCGCCAGCCAGCCTCGCAGAGGCTCCTCCTCCCTCTGGGAGGGAGTGGGGCGTACGACTGGGACGATGAGGAGGTGGTGATCATGATGGTGATGGTGATGGTGATGGTGATGTTGATGGTGATGGTGATGGTGATGGTGATGTCGACGATGGCGGCGATTGCGACGATGGTGTTGCTGGTGATGGTGATAATGGTGCTCACGGTGATGATGATAATGATGATGATCATGATCGTGATTCAAGATCATGACCATGATCATGATCATAATGACGATGTTGATGACGATGACGATGGTGACGATGATGCTGATGATGATGATGATGATGATGATGATGGTGGCAATGATGATGATGATGATGATGATGATGATGATGATGATGATGATGATGATGATGATGGTCATGATGGTCATGATTATGATGATAATGATGGTGGTTGTGGTGGTGGTGGTGGTGGTGGTGTGGTGATGGCGGTGGCGGTGGTGGTGGCGGTGATGAGGATGCTGGTGGTGGTGGTGGTGTGGTGGTGGTGGCGGTGGTGGTGGCGGCGATGGGGGTGGTGACGATAATGGTAGTGGTGGTGGTGGGTGGCGGTGGTGATGAGGATGCTGATCATGATGATGATGATGATGATGATGATGATGATGATCATCATCATCGTGATGATGGTGGTGATGATAATGAGGATGACGATGACGATGTTGATGATGATGCTGCTGATGATGATGATGCTGACGACGACGAAGATGATGTCAACGATGGTAGTGGTTGTGATGATTGTGATGCTTATGTTGATGATGAATATGATGATGATGATGATGATGATGATGATGATGATGATGGTGATGATGCTGATGGTGATGGTGATGATGGTGCTGGTGATGATGATGGTGATGTTGATGATTCAGATGATGAGGATTGGGATGAGGACAAGGATGATGCTGATAATGACGATGGTCATGATGATGATGATGATGATGGTGGTGGTGGTGATTATGATAATGATGATGATGCTGATCATGATACTGATCCTGATCAGGAGCATCATGATGCTACTACTTCCGATAAGCGATATTGGGTGATCATGATGGTGGTGGTGATGATGCTAGTGGTGGTATTGGTGATGGTGATGGTTATGGTGATGATGATGATGATGATGATGATGATGATGGTTGTGATGATGATGTTGGTGGTGGTGGTGATCATGATGATGAGGATGGCGATGATGACGAGTCTGTTGATGATGGTGATTGTGATGATGATGAGGATGACGATGACGATGTTGATGATGATGCTGCTGATGATGATGATGATGATGCTGACGACGACGATGATGATGCTAACGATGGTAGTGGTGGTGATGATTGTGATGCTTACGCTGATGCTGAATATGATGATGATGATGGTGGTAATGATGCTGATGGTGATTGTGATGGTGATGATGATGATGATGATGATGATGATGGTGATGATGATGATGATGATGATGATGATGATGGTGGTGATGGTGATGATGATGGTGATGTTGATGATTCAGATGATGAGGATGGGGATGGGGATGAGGACGAGGATGATGCTGATAATGACGATGGTGATGATGATGATGATGATGGTGGTGGTGATTATGATAATGATGATGATGCTGATCATGAGAATGATCCTGATCAGGAGCATCATGATGGTACTACTTCCGATAAGTGATATTGGGTGATCATGATGGTGGTGATGATGATAGTGGTGGTATCGGTGATGGTGATGGTTATGGTGATGATGATGATGATGGTTGTGATGATGATGGTGGTGGTGGTGGTGGTGATCATGACGATGAGGATGGCGATGATGATGAGTCTGTTGATGATGGTGATTGTGATGGTGATGATGATGCGGATGACAATTAAGATGATGATGGTGACGAGGATTTGGATGATCATGATTATGATTATGATTATGTTGATGATGATGCTGATGATGATGCTGATGATGATGCTCATGATCATGATCCTGGTCATCATGATGATGCTGCTAATGATGATGGCGATGCTGATGGCAATGACGATGACGACGATGAGGAGGATGCTGATGACGGTGATGGTGGTAGTGATGGTGGTGGTGATGACGGTGGTGGTGATCTTGAGGTGCCCGCTGGAGGCCCCGCGGAGGTCACCCCTCCGAAGATCTCTCGGGATCTGGGCAGTGTCAGAAACATCCACCAAGAGCGGTGATCCTTCTCCTCCTCCTCCTCTTGCTCCTCGTCCTCCCCCCTTCTCGTCCTCCTCGTCCTCATCATCATCGTCCTCCTGGTCCTCCTCCTCCTCCAACTCCTTCTCCTCCTCCTCCTCCTCCTCTTCCTCCTCCTCGTCCTCCTCCGTAGCCATTTTGGCTCAAGCCGTTCTGGCACAATTCATTTTTGTGCATGCGATCACCGATCGTCACAACGGCTGGGTGTTCGCGGGCCAGAGTGGCTCGGACACCCTTTCCTCTCACGGCGGCGCTGCGATGGCTCCTGGTGGCAAGCCTCGTAGCGGCTACGACGCCACCAAGAAGTTGACTTGCGGGCATTGCGGATGCCGCAAGAACTTGGGGAACGACACGTGGTGCAAACACTGCGGTAAGAAGTGGGATGAGCCCGTTCCAGGTGACGGACAGGTCAGAGGTGGAGGCGTCCCCCGAGGAGCGGCTGTTGCTGAAGTTCGTCGTGCTGCAGCAGACGCAGTGCCGGGAAGGCCTCCACCCGCGCGGCCTGCTTCCGCCCCGACTGCGACCAAGTCTGAGTTGCAGCAGCTGGTGGAGCTCAGCGCCAAGGTGGGGGACGCGTCTCTGCTCTCCTTGGCGCAAGAGAAGGTGGCCCAGTTGGCGCAAGCCCCTCCGCCCCCGCAGCAACGGGCGGACGCGGCCTTCAAAGAGATCCAGCGGCTCGAGAAGAAGTTGGATCGCGATCTGGACCACGTCCATGGCCTTGAACGAAAGTTGGCTCAGCAGCGCGCGGGCTTGGAGGTCACGCTGCAGGAGCTTGAGCGATACGATCAGGAGTACAAGTCTGCCGTCTCAGAGCTGCACCTGTCTGTCACGGTCCAGCCGTCTCAGCCACAGCAGGAGGCCCCAGCCGCCCCAGTGCTGCGCCTGCAGGACATCCTGGATGGCAAGCTGTCCTCGTTCGTGCTCGACGACGGCGACATGTTTGGGTTGGCGGAGCTTCAGGGCGTTACCCCAGAAGACCTACGTGAAGCCCAGTTTCGGAAGGAGCAGCTGTCAGAGCGCATCACTACCCTCACGACGGCCCTGTTCGGGGAGGTTCAGTCTAAGTGCGTCGAGCTTAAGAAGAACCACCAGGAGCAGGCCAAGCGGCTCGAGAAGAAGCGGAAGACGGACGCCGAACCTGCTGCTGCTGGTGCACTTGCAGGAGACGCCGCTGCCGCCTCTGAGGCATCGGGAGCGTCGGCCTCGGCTGCTGGAAGCAAGGCCGCCCCTGCGCCGCCTGTTGCCCCAGGCGCCCCGCCTTCCAAGCCTGGCGCCTCTGTCCGTGCCCAGGCTCGTGAGGCGATCAGTAGGGCACCGAACAAGGCGCCCCCCGCGGTCCCAGACGGGAAGGCGCCGCCACCAGCGGGCCCCCCAGCCAGGGGGGCGGCTTGCTCCTAGCCAGACCTGTGCCGAGCCATCACCTTCCTCCTACCCTAGACTCCCTACCTCCTGCCCAGTTTTGGATGCCCCACGGAATCCGTGTCAGCATCGCCCTCGGGACCATGGAGATTTTGTTGCTGCTAATGAGTCTATTGAACTGGAGATAGTGACGGCTAACGGCACGGCTTGGAGCTCGCTCCAACAATTTTTGGGAATTACCTCGGCCCACATCGTGCTCGTCCAGGAGCACAAGCTCATAAGCGCTGAGGACATCAGGAAGGCTTCGGCCTGGTGTGTGCGAAACGGGTGGAAAGCCAGCTTCGAACCTTGAACCCTGGGGCCTGGGGGGGGCCCTTCGGCTGGGGTCGGGGTCCTGGTTAGGTCCTTCCTCGGGTTGCACCACCCCGATTTTGGTCCCACGATTCGGCCCCGCAGGGCCCTCGGTGCTCTCGTCCACCTCCCAGGTCAGGCCTCTTTCTACGTTGTTAGTGTCTACCTGCAGGATTGTGTTGGACCTAGCGATTTCAATCCGGATATTCTTGCTGGCGTAGCGGCGCGAGCAAAGAGTATGTCTGTGCCGTTCCTTGTCGGTGCCGGCTTCAACTTGGAGCCCGCCGCGCTAGCAGGCTCGGCGATTCACCGAAGGATGGGAGCTGACATTGTGTACCCCCCTGGTGTCGAGGGCACCTGTCGCAGCACTGGGGGCGTGGAGATGTTCGATTTCTTCCTTTGTTGCTCCCGCCTGGCGCAGGCGATTGCAGGCGTGAAGATAGTGAGCGATTCGGAGTTAGCGACGCATGACCCTGTCTCCCTCACCTTCCACCCCTCCCTTGCGTCTCTCAAAGCTTTGACCTTTCGACGTCCCCCACCCATGCCCACTAGTCGGCCCGCGGGACCTTGCCCTGAGCCCCCCTTTGAATGGGGAGTTTTGGATCGGTTGGCCTCCCGAGCCCTGGCTGTGGCCGAGAGTGGGGAGACTGATGCTACCCAGTATCATCTTGACACCATCTACAAACATTGGGCCAACACGGCTGAAAAGGAGCTCGAAGGAGTGTTTCAGTGCCGCCTTTCGCACCGCGGCAGTCGTGGGCGCCAGGCGGAGTTGCACTGGGTCAGCGTGGTGCAGCCGAGTTCGGCCTCGATGGAAGGTGTTTCGTCGACGTCGCAGATGGCTTCGCAGCTCCGCTCGCTCAGCAATCGGCATCGGCTTTGGCTGCAGCTGTACGCCTTAGGAGCGTCGACGGCAGAGCCCGAGCACCCCTCCTCCCCGCGTTTTGCTCGTAGCAGAGTATCGACATGACAGTGTCAGGACGCGCCGGGCACAGCTCGGCACGCAGCAGCCATCTCTGTGC